GAAACAGTTGTGTTGTGACTTTGTGTCACTGAATAAATGAAATCCTCTTTGTAATAAGAAGCCGATTAGAACGGCGAGAGCAAGATAAATATGTTACAAGTTTCAGTTTCTAGATTAGATGGTAGGCAAATAGTTAACAGCACCCACCGCCAACTCTTGTCTAAATGAACATAGAGACTCTTCAGTAAGGAAGCAAGTTACAGTAATATAATAATAACTGCCTGACAATGATATATAAATGAAGTTATTTGTTTGGGGGGACATCCCCCCACTTTAAAACAAATCATCGTTAAAAGATGACTCAAAGAGGCAAAAACTTAAAAACAACTATAGACGCGTCATGTTTCGTTTGTATTTATAGTAAAGCTATCTGCTGCCGTCCCTAATTTTGAACAACAGAGCAGAAGAAAGACAGTTAGTTCTGAAGAAGGCAAACCAATGTTCTCCCCAAAACAAACCATTTCCCAGTGCTTATAAATTGTTGTTTAATAAGAATATAGATTTGTTTGTAATTAAGCACAAAGCTACACAATGGGCTATCTGTGCTCTGCCCGCCACGAGGATCGAAACCCGGTTTCTAGCGTCGTAAGTCCGAAGACATGACACTGTGCCACTGAGGAGCAAGAATAGAGAGATCTGGCTGTCAATCTTCCACGTTCGCAAAACGCGAGCGCGTTTGTGCGACAACGGGAAGCGAACCATGATCTTTGAATTCACAGCCCGGGAATGCTAACACCACAAGGCCACGCCTGAATCTTAACTTTAATAAATGCTTTATGCGTTTGTTTGTTGAATTTCGCACAAAGCTACACGAGGGCTATCTGCGCTAGCTGTCCCTAATTTAGCAGCGATACACTAGAAGGAAGGCAAGTAGTCAACACCACCCACCGCCAACTTTAAGGGATTCACCGTCACACTGTAACGCCCCCGCGGCTGAAACAGCAAGCTCTGTTACGGATTTCGAACCCACGGCCTTAACCAACAGGCCACGCCAGACCCTTGTTTTATGCGTGGGTTCCTTAAAGGATGTGCACCGCAGCACATTAATGTGTCACAAGTGAGCTGACAGTGTGTCGCAAAAGTTCCTAGCGTTTAGAAAATTACAACAAAGTATGTTTGAAATAATAATTTAAATGTGATGACCAAGAAAGAAATCCAATCATATGTCATTTTACTTAACACTCTACTCATCACGTGCTCGTGTTTATGTGGAGTTATTTTCACTTTGCCACGAGACCTACAATTAGAGGTGTGTCACGTTTTGTTTTAGTAGTTCTAGGTGTACCTTGGGGGAGGGGAGGGGGAAAGGAGGGGGGAGGAAGCATCATCTCTGTAATCATTATGCTATGATACGAAAGCACGAAATAGACTCCGCCAATAAACGAAACCTAAACCTTGGTAGTTCTGGAATTTCAGTTTGGACATAGTACTAGATGTACTTCCGCAGGGTCCCCGAAAGTGTTCTGTTTCAAGATTAAATACAACCAAAAGTAAAAGTAACAAATGTTGTTACTTCTTGCTTTTGAAGTTCACATGAAGTGCATAATTCTTCTCGTGATTCATGGCACGCGCACGTTTTACTGACGTCACGACAGTACAAATCGCAACGTTAAGCGTGACTTATGTGAAGTCACCTAACCTGACCTAGCTGACAGACAACACACTAGTGTATAGTGGTGCGAGTGGTTAAAACAGATGACCACCTCCAGGCGGAAATAAAACTCTTAT